GGAGGGGAGAAAGGGACAGTGAGGAGGAGGAAGAGGCGGAGGTGGAGGCGGAGGAGGAGGAGGAGGAAGAGGAGGAGGAGAAGACCGAGAGGGGGAGGACGAGGACCAGGACGAGGTGCGACGAAGAAGAGGCGGAGGGATGTTAGATGAGGAGCAGGAGGAGGGATCTCGATCCAGGATCGCCCAGTAACGAGTCGCTGTCTGGCTCGTCTCCTGCGACCCGCCCCGAGCGGAGGAGCCACGCTGGTGCTGCAGGCGGTGCTGTTCTTCCAGGGCGCGGACTTCGACGACGCACAGGAGCCGACCGCAGGCGCAGGCGCGCGCGGGCAGAGAGACGTCAGCTTAGTAGCCGCAGGCACGGCGGCACGGCAGAGGCGGCAAATGGGTGATGAGAAGGGGCTGGCGAGCAAGGAGGCGCACAGCCAGCACGAGGGTTGAAAACGACCCTAGCCTTAGATGGGGTACCCTGAGATCATGGCGTCTCATTTTTGTTTCTGGCTGGGCGTTTTCGCCTTTTCTCGGGCCCCGGGACACTCACAGATCGACCCGGGTCGAAAAATGACGTAGAAAGATGGGGTCTACAGTAAGGCCGCTGGAGAAGGAACCCTTTTCGTTTGGGAAGGTCTCTGTGTTCCTTACTTAGTTTGCAGTTTCTGAGGTGCCCCTCAGGTTTTCTGTGGGAAGTCGAAGTGTAACGTATGGAAAGACGAGCGGCCTCGTTCCCTATTCAGGGTTCCTTATGACAGCGTTTCGGCTGCAGGGCTCACGGCGTAAGTTTTGTCGATGCTGTGGAGCAGCTCCCCGTCGCGGTTGGGCTCTCCACGACGGCGACGACGACGGCGACGACGATGACGAGAATGGCGACGACGAAGACGACGACGACGATGACGACGACGACGAGGACACTGACGACGCCGACGACGAGGACGACGACGACGATGACGACGACGACGGCGACGACGGCGACGGCGGCGGCGGCGGCGTCGACGGTGACGATCTGCACCGAAGCACGGATTTGGGAAAGTGCCCACCCTGCAGGCTAGAGAAAACAGCACACCGTTGAGCGGTGCTGCAGCCTCCCCTCAGGGGGGGAGGGGTAGGAGGTGGAGGGAGGAGGGAGGGAAGGGGAAGGAACAGGACGGAGGAGGAGGGGGAGGGGAAGGAGGGAGGGGAGGGGAAGGCGGGAGGGAAGGGGGAGGAGGAGGAGGAAGGAGGAGGCTGGAGGGAGGAGGGAGGGAGGGAAGGAGGGAGGGAGGAGGGAGGGAAGGGGAAGGAAGGGTGGAGGGGGGAGGGAGGAGGGAGGGGAAGGGGAAGGAACAGGAGGGAGGAGGATGGGGAGGCGAGGGAGGCGACGGGGAAGGAAAAGGATGGAGGGATGAGAGAGAGGCGAGGGAGGCGAGAGGGCGGGAGGTGGAAGAGGAGGGAAGGGGAGGGGGAGGGAGGGGGGGGAGAAGGAGGGAGGGAGAGCGACAAGAAGGGAGGATGAGGAGGAGAAGAAGGAGGAGGAGGAGAAGGAGGAGGAGGAGGAGGAGGAGGAGAGGAGGAGGAGGAGGTGGCGGAGGAGGAGGAGGAGGAGGGAGGAGGAGGAGGAGGGCTCAGCAGGGTGGAGGTGGTGGGGGAAGCTGGGGAAGAGGGGGGGAGCGAGAGGCGTGCGCCACTCCCCCCTCCCCCCCGGGCGACTGCCCCGAGGCGTCTCGCCACAGCCCCGCGGCCCGCCGGCGGCGGGCGCGCCGGCCGCCGCGCGGGCCGCCATCGCGGAGGGCGCGATGCCGCGCCCGACGCCGGCGGTGCCGTTTATCTGGCGGCTCTGCCACGCCCGGGCCCCGGGTGCGGATCTCGTTTGACGTCCGTCCTCCTCGTCGTCGTCCTCCTTCATCGTCTTCGTCCGTCCTCGTCGTCCTCGTCCGTCCTCGTCGTCCTCGTCGTCGTCCTCGTCGTCCTCGTCGTCCTCTATCTCGTTTGACGTCCGTCCTCGTCGTCCTCGTCGTCGTCCGTCCTCGTCGTCGTCGTCCACGCTCACGGAGGCTTCCGCTCGTCTTGGGCTGAACGTCTATCGGCGAAGTTCGACCAAGAGCCCCAGGTAGCGCCAAGTAGCGCTCAGCAACTCCCCGTGGCGCCGAGGAGTGCTGGAGAGCAGTCGATGGCAACCAATAGTGCCCCGAAGCGCCATGGGAGGGAGAAACATTGTGTCCGCTTGGCGCCATGGGGACGCTCAAAAGATGTCGTGAGTTGGTCTCCAGCTCCTCATGCTCGTCCTCGTCCTCATCCCTCTTCTCTCCGCCCTTCTACGCCACCTCCTCCTCCTCCTCCTCCCTCCTCCTCCTCCTCCTCCTCCTCCTCCTCCTCCTCCTCCTCCTCCTCCTCCTCCTCCTCCTCCCCTCCTCCCCCTCCCTCCTCCCCTCCCTCCTCCTCCCCCCCCTCTCCTCGGGCTGAATCGGCAGCTGCCCCCATCGGCCGACGGGGACCGGGCGACATGGGTACCCTTCCCGGCAGCTTCTGCTCCACCGCTGGACTGTTGTTTTATGTGAGGCGGGTTACGTGGCCCACCGCGAGCCGAGCGGGACGAGGAGGAGGATCGAGGAGGGGAGGATCGATCTCCGAAGTTCAAGGATCGAGGAGGGGACGAGGATCGAGGAGGGGAGGAGGATCGAGGAGGAGGATCGAGGAGGGGAGGTTCGAGGCCGATCCAGCCAATCTGCGCGGAGCTTCGGGGGTCCGATCTCCGAAGCTGCTGTGAATGCTGTGTGTGTGCTGCGTCTTGCTTCAGGGGGGGGAGGTTCGAAGGGTCGAGGGTCGGGTGGCGGCTTCGTGCTTCGGGGCCGCTCTGGGTTTCCAGATGCCTCTGGAGGTTTCTGGCAGGAGGCATGAGGAGGATGACGAGGACAAGGAGGAGAAGGATGAGGAGGCAGGAGGAGGAGGAGGAGGAGGATGCAGAAGAATGTTACGTCGGTCGTGCGGCCTGACTTAAACTACCAGGTGAGGAGGGTGAGGAATTTTACGTTGGTTGTGTGGTCTGAGGCGTTATACCAAATGGCCGTGGTGAAACGCGACGGCGCTCTCTCACCTGTGCGGTCTGAGTTGGTCTACTAAATCGTTGTGGCAGGACGTGACGGCGCGACGGTGCTCTTTCGCCTACGCTAGGAGAAGGTCAAAGGAGGAAGACGAGAAACAAAGTGCGTGGACGAGGAGAAGAAGGATAAGGAGGAGGGGAGGAGGAAGGGGACCAGGAGGAAGAGGAGGATGACCAACAGGAGGAGGAGGAGGAGGAGGAGGAGGAGGAGGAGGAGGAGGAGGAGCATGAGGAGGAGGATCACGCCTCGGAGCGCCTGCCGCCTGCCTAAGCAAGGGGGAGGATAAGGGTAAGGAGGAGGAGGAGGAGGAGGAGGAGGAGGAGGAGGAGGAGGAGGAGGAGGAGGAGGAGCAGGGCGGGGAGAGACTTGGGGGCCGGGCTCGAAAGGCTCGAAAAGGGCGGGGAGCGCCCCCCTTGGGCGACGAGCGCTGGGCGATTGTGCCGCTCGGTCGAGACCCCATGCTGGAAAGGACCCGCCCTCCACCCACCCTTCCAGCTGCCCGCCCGTCGTCGAAAGTGCAGCCGGCCCGCACAGCGAGGATGGGCCACCTTCCCAAGGGTGCCCTCGCATCCCTGCCCCCGTCGGCCCATCCTTGGCGACTCTCGCTGGCCAACCTCGTCCGAAAAGCGCCAGCGAGGCCGTCCAAGGCCGTTGCATCCGTACCGCGCATCCTTATGATACGGGCTGGCTGTAGGTACCTGTGGATTCCCACGTCCCAGTCTGCTGTAGGCGCCTCCTTCCTTCAAGGATCGAGTGGCCTGCCCCCTCCCTGGGTCTTCGGGGGGCAGGGGGAGATCCAATCTACGTCCAACGCCTTCCTACCTACTTTTTCCACCGACTTCTTCCAGCCGATGGGTACGTTCGGGAACTCTGAGTCAACGTGTCGCGCCGACAGTTCTGGCCCATGACGCCTCGAGGCGACGGGCTGACTACGTCCGAGCCCCCAAGCTTCAACGTCGCGAGCCTTTCCCGGCCTCCCGCCCCGCGGAGCGGAGCGACACGCCATCTGCTCCCAAGGCCGTGCGTGTCGCCAGGGCCGCCGCCGCGACACGCTAAGCAAAAGTCCCCGACCGTAAGTCAACTCAAAGAGGTTGGAGTATCATCGTTCAAGAAATGTCCAACGATAGCTCATTTTACAAAACGATCTGCCCTCCATTCGCGTAAATGTTGCGCAAGCTCAAGGTCGTTGTCTAAACAAGTGCGGAGGTCTCAAAGAAGAGCCCCATATTGAATGGGAGCCGCCCTCCATCGTGTAACTGTGGTACACTTTCGATCTTCTGGCTGCAGAACTTGAACAGGTCCCAAGCAAAAGCCGCATGTTGAACGCGTGCTGGCCACCATACTTGTCAGTGGTGCAAGCTCTTCAGATAAATGCACGCGACGCTAAGGCGAGAGCCGCATAACTTGAAACAGCCAGCCTTCCATCCGACTAACCATTGGAGCTTCTAAGCTCCAGGATAGTGAACCGTAACGCAGTATCACGCGCACAACGCCCGGCCCTACTAACGACCACAGCTGGTGGTGCGACAGGGGGGCATCTGTTCTGAGAGGAAGAGCGTCGAAGGGGGGCGGGATACCCCCTCGGAACGCAAGATGGGGAGGAGGGACGCCTCCTCCTCCTCCTCCTCCTCCTCCTCCTCCTCCCCCTCCTCCTTCTCCCCCTCCTCCTCCTCCTCCTCCTCCTCCTCCTCCTCCTCCTCCTCCTCCTCCTCCTCCTCCTGCGTCGAAGGCTCCGAAGTCAGAAGCCCCTCCCGCAGCGCCGCTCCGCTGGCGGGGGCACCGCGCGGGCCCGCGTTTGGCGCGAGACGCCTGGCGGATCTTCTTCCACATCCCGAAGTGCGCAGGCCAGCGGGGGGGTGGCTGAGGTTTTGCGCTTGGCATCGCTCGGACGTGTGCAATTTTCATTCGGCGAGGGCCATCGAGGAGCAT